GCCACATAGATGGTCTGCTAGCATGAATAGGTAATTCCTACATGTATCGTGATTCATTTGATCTAGTCACCTTATAACCTTCACATTATCAAGGTCACCATCAAGACTTTTACAATTTGATGATTTCCTCCACCCACTTCGGCTTTCAAAGATCCTCAACATTGTTATGGTTCCCTGACCCATTAACTCATGCCCGTGATTTCTTCAAAACCCAATGAGCACCAACGTTCTCAAAAGAACAAGCATCTTACACAAGATAAAGAAATTAAGCATCACATTGCTACAAAAAATAATAACCCATGCATAAAGATTTAAAATCAACATCCCTTGAACCATCGGTACCAAACACCCTTGTATGGACATCTAACGAGAACCTTTGTTCCAAAAGAACATGCGCCCCTACACGAATATCAAACAAGCATCTCATGCTAAAAGACCATGCGCCCCTGTGCTGATAATACAATGGCGCGCTCTTACGTGAACTTCACAAATTAAGCATCTCTATGCAAGACCAAATTATTTCACCCTACCTACTCCACACGCTAGAGCGCTCAATGTAAGATCAGGTCATCTTGCCTACTCACATCTAGAAGCGCTCGACATGAACTCTGTATTTCTTCCAACTCCTAACGCTGAAGCGCTCGACATGAATCCTCAAAGAAACAAGACACACAAATTGTCCACAAACATCAATCCCCTCTCTGGCTCCTTTCTCAATCTACTCATCTGGGACTCTAACGTAATTATGAATCGCATGTAACCCATTCTGGCTGGCTCAGAATCACTATCTTCTGTGGGAGTGTTTACTTATGCACAGTCCCTCGTTGATGCCACCATGGAATTAAAAACACTTTATTGTGGACACTCTGTAATCCGATGAGGCCCATTACAAAGGAAAAACCTTAATGAGGGTCTATTCCCTCTATTTCTCGATCTATAACCAGTCAGGACTCTATTTAGGTTAGGTCCCTTCTAGGGAAACTCCTATTTGCTCCCCAACCCGTTCTCTTATCCCCTCGAGCCAACTTGTTCCACCCACCTATTGGGTATTTTCTCCACTCAGAGAAGGCACCATATGCTTTACACGTTGATCATTGAATCATTAAGGCATTCATCAACGACTATCACTGTTGTTAGATCTTGCACCTTTTGCCTCTGCAACTCAAGCCTCTCCCATGGCTTAATCCCTCAAAGGAAATAAAACAATTTATCCCTTCCAGACATGTCCTTGATATCTTGCACCAAGGTTGAGAACTCTCTTACATGCTCCCGTATGGTCCTCGTATGAGACAATTTCCTCAACTTCTTACGAGCGTCATAGTATATATTCTAAGGGAGAAAGAAAATATTAAACTCATTCTTTAACACATCACAATCCTTAACGGAGCAAACTTCATCTTCGAACTTGGATTGCCACTATAACTTTGCGTCACCTGCCAGATACATCAACAATCGCCACCTTATCTTCCTCAAACTCGGTGCGCATTGCTCGAAAATACTACTCCATGTCAACTAGAAAATTTTCAAGCTCTTTAGCATCCCTCACCCCATCAAACGTTGGGGATCAGGGATCTTGGCTCGTACGCCCCCTTTTGCAGGGTTCACATTCAAATAAGCTACACACTACAACAAATTTATCAATTTATGACTAAACTTCTATATGACGTTACATATATTGTCACAAAACATACTATTATGTGACTTTTTTTTATTTTCGTCATATTTATTGATTAATGGTATATCTTTTATGATAATTTTAAAAATGGTCATTGATTTTTGTCACTATATGTTTGACGCCAAAATCTTCCCACCAAAATCTTTGATGAGAAACCTTTTAATGACATTTAGATAAAATAATGACGTAAAATTGTCTCTAATGAAAAACAGGTATTAGTGACGATTTATTATAATGACGCTTGAATTTGAATCAGTGGCGTTGCACATTTGTCACTAATAAGTTTTATTCGTGACAATTTAATTTGTCATATTTTAAAGACACTAAAAGTGACATTTTATTATTGTCACAAAAAATAGTTTTAACACGACGAAATCAATTATTTGTCACTTGTTTTTGTCTCTATTTTTTATATGACGATTTTAAAATACGTCATGAAGTTATGTCAGTTAATGTTAAAAAAAGATAATCTAACAACCTTATTAAATAATGCAATTTATAGAGTTTTTTGTGTTTTTATTTTATTGACATTATTCTATATTAGATTATCTCACATTCAAAGTTTTTTTTAGAGTAAAACATAAAATAATAAATAGTTAAAAAGAAATGGTCTAGAAGTTAGGTTGTTACAAGTTTGTTAGTCTAGCAGGTTCTTAACAACTTAACAGCTTAACAACTAGTTGGTTAGGTGGTTTTCTTGAATAGCAAAAGCGTTGAAAGTGAGTTGTATAAATAAAGGGGTGTTCAAACAGGTAATTCAGTTAACCAATAGAACCAAATTATCCAAATTTCATTAACAAAATTCTTTTTCACTTTAACCATTAACCGAACTGCTTTTTATTAAAAATTAACTGAACCGAACTAATTTTAATTAACTGAATTAACCAAATTTATAAATAATATATATTAAATACTTGATATTTAATATTTTGATTTACTCAATTAATTCGGTTGAAATCAAAGTTTAAATACCCTAAAGCTAAATACTATATATAATATATTAAATATTTAATAATTTCAATTAATCCGGTTAATTAACCGATTTCGAACTGAATTAACCGAAATCAAAGTTTGAAAAACAATTATTAATTGTTAACTACCCAAACCCAAAATTAATCGTTAACTACCCAAACCCAAAATTATCCGACCGATTAATCGACCGAAATATCAGTTTGGTGGGTTAATTCAGTTTTAACCGAACAGTAAACACCCCTAGTAACGTTCAACATCGTAAAAACATTGGTTAAAAGATCATATTGAGTTTGTTTGTTTTTTAGTTAGAGTAGCACATTAAGGGTCTGTTTGTTTGGCTGTAATTGGTTTTTCGGAAAATGAATTACTGAAATTTGAATTACTGGAACTGGAAAATGAATTATTGGAATTTGAAATCTGGAAAATGAATTACATTTATGGAAAACGTTTTTCGGAAAATGTTTTCCGTAAAATGAATTACATTTTTCTGAAAAACATCTGAAAAATGTTTTATGATGTTTGGAAGATATTATTTAAATATTTTTTTCCAGTAGTTGAAGAGTTTTTTAAAAATTATTTATTACAAATATTAAATATAATAAATAATATTATTTATCATAAAACTTAATATTATTATTTTAAAATATTAAAATAATTTATTTATTATTAAATATTTTTTTATAATTTTATTAATAAAAATAATAATTTTTGTATATTTTAGTGAAATAAAATATTATAAATTATATTAATTATTTATTAAAGTAATATTGTTATATTATATTTTAAAAATATTAATTAGTATATTTTAAATATATAAATAATATTATTCATTATTAAATATATAAAGATTTTTATTATATATTATTAAAATATAAATATAATATCTTATATTATTATAATATAATTGATTATTTTATATAATATTAAAAATATAATATTATATTATTATAAATATTAATAAATAAATAAATAATATTTTGATGAAAATGATATTAAAATATTTTATTAATATTAAATTCATAAAATAAAATTATTTTGAGTATTTATTATTTGAAGTGAAAAATTCGGTAAATGACTTACAAAAAATGAATCCGTAAGTCATTTTACAGAAAACACAAAGGAAATTCTGTTACTAAGAAAATGAATTACATTCCGGAAAATCAATTACGTGAAACAAACACGGGAAAATATTTTCCGGAAAACGAATTACATGAAACAAACACGGAAAAACATTTTCCGGAAAACGGATTACGTAAAACAAACACGGAAATTCAAAGAAAATCAATTCCGTAATTCCAATTACGGCAAACAAACACCCTAAATGAAAAAAAAATTGAGGACCACATTATTTTATTCCATAAAAAGTAATATTGTATTTTATTCAAAAGTACAAGGAACTCTTGTGTTTTTCCAAAATTCTTTAGTTAGTCATGTGTTGTTTGATAAATCATCAAAAAATTAAGTACATAATATATTTATTTTATTCCATAAAAAGTAATTTTGTATTTTTATTTTTCTAAAATTTAATATTATTTAATATGTTTTATATTATTTTTAGAGCACTGGTAGTCCCTAAATTTTAAAAAAAAAACCTTGTAATTTGGTTGCCAAACTTTTAAAATTTACATTGAAATCATTAAACTTTTAATTCAATTAAAAACTTACATATATATATATATATATATATATATATATTCTTAAAAATTAAAAATATTATTTAACAGTTGAAATTTAAATTTTAAAAATTTTAAAATAAAATCAATACTTTAAAAAAATTTATATGCTATTTATCTTGAAATGAACTTAGAAACTAGAATAGGAATTTAGAAATCAAATTTAGACATAAAATTAAAGAATATTTAGGCTTAATATAAAAATAAGTGTCTATATTTTACTTAAAACTGACTCTTGGTGCCTAATTTTTTCGTTAAAAATAGGTATCTATGTTTTATCCGTTAAACTTTTAGGTGTTTACCATTAAAAACCATTAAATGACACATGTCACATTTATATTTATATTTTTTAAAATAAAATATTATTTAAAAAAATTTAAAAAAATTGAACGTGGTATGTGTGACTCAACGGTAAGAACTTAAAAGTGTGATGAAAACCATATTGACATTTATTTTTAATAAAAAACTATTTAAACGTTAATTTTAAGTATAGTTTAAACAATTATTTTTGTATTAAATCAATATTTAATAATGAAAGAAAAGATGAGAGCAAAACGAATGCCTTAATATTGGGCCTTAATTTCGGCCCTTTGTATATAGTCCATTCCCTCCATTATTTTCACATTCAATTATTTTTATTCCGCTATTTTTTTCTCTCCCCAAACACATTCCCTAAAAAGAAAAAATAAAATAAAAAGAGAGCTGTTCACGAGGGTCCTCTGAGAAATTTCCTGGTTCTGTCTCTCCTCTGATCTGGAAAGAAATCGACCCATCACATAGTTTCCAAAGCTGTTCAAATAATCGACGAAATTGTTGAAGAACTGAAAGTTTAGGATGGACTCCACATTCAGCGGCGATGAAACTGCTCCATTCTTTGGTTTCCTCGGTTTTGCTGCTGCCCTCATTTTCTCCTGTATGAGAGCTGCGTATGGGACGGCCAAGAGCGGTATAGGAGTGGCCTCGATGGGAGTGATGAGGCCGGAGCTGGTTATGAAATCAATAGTCCCCGTTGTTATGGCCGGTGTTTTGGGTATTTATGGGTTGATTATTACGGTTATTATTAGCACTGGGATTAACCCGAAGGCCAAATCTTACTACCTTTTCGATGGCTATGCTCATCTTTCCTCTGGTCTTGCTTGACGCCTCGCTGGTCTTTCTGCCGGCGTGGCTATTGGAATCGTGGGTGATGCTGGTGTTAGGTATTGTCATCTAATTTGCTTGGAATCATTTGTTTTTGCTGTTTTGCATTTCAAATCTCTAGAACTGAAAGGTTGTTTGCACGAATAAAATTTCATTTGCTGCATAGATTTTTTCGAAGCTGGTCATAGTAGTGAAATATGAATGTGTAATCACTGTGATTATGTGCTTCACTTCTCACTCACATTCACAAATTCTGATAAAACTATAGTGGTAAGCTTCTTGTCGAGTGAATTCAACCTTGGATCTTGGATCTGCTGGAATCTTACTTGGTTCACAAAATGTAATCTATTTCAATTCATGTAAGGTATGTGGAAGTTACAAAGATTAAAAGCTTCGAAAGAGAACTATTAGAGTATATCAAATTCAGCTTCTAATCTTTATAGCTTATAGTTTGTTTTGTTATCTAGTTTATTGTTATCAGTTAGTTAGCTGATTTGTTAGCAGTAGTTCTTGATTAGTTAGTTAACTTTACTCTGTATATAAACCAGTATGTGATCCTTCTTGAATACACAAGAGAAGTTTTACTCACTTTACAGCTTCTTCAATTGTTATATGGTATCAGAAGTTTGCTTTCTTTCCTTCCACACTTCATCATGCTTGATTCATTGAATGATAGTTTCGACAATGGGGCAAATCCCTATTACTTGCATCAATCTGACAATCCTAGCATGATATTGGTGAGTCAGTTGCTTTCAAATGATAATTTCCACTGCTGGAAAAGGTCAATGATGCTTGCCTTATCTGCTAAGAACAAGCTTGGATTTGTTGATGGTTCAATTCAAGCTCCGGATCCTTCCATGGTAAACCAATTCAATGCCTGGACAAGAGCCAATAGTTTGGTTAATTCTTGGCTTCTCAATTCCGTCTCCAAAGACATTGCTGCAAGTTTGTTGTATCACACGACTGCTGCTGAGATTTGGAAAGATTTGGTTGATCGTTTCCAGCAGGCAAATGGACCACGTTTGTTTCACTTAAAGAAACGTTTATGCGAGCTCGGGCAAGATAAATTGTCTGTAAGCAATTACTATACTCAGTTGAAAATTGTTTGGGATGAATTGTGTTCAATTCGACAGTTATGCAGTTGCCTCCAATGTAATTGTGGAGGAGTGCAGCGTATGCTTGTTGAACAGCAGCAAGAACAAGTAATTCAATTCTTAATGGGGTTAAATGAGTCTTATGCTCACATAAGGGGACAATTCTGTTAATGGATCCTCTTCCTCCCATTTCAAAAGTTTTTTCTTTGATCGTTCAAGAAGAGAATCAGCGAAACATACAGTCTTCTCATCCCATTTCCGAGCCAACATTTGCTGCTAAGTCTCAACCCGTCACTAATACTCGCAAAAATAGACCTTTGTGTAGCCATTGTAATCTTCTTGGCCATACAAAAGACAGGTGTTACAAACTGATCGATTATCCACCTGGCTACAATTCCAAGAATTGGTCCTCTTCGACCTCTTCTCGTGGTAAGAGTTCTCAGGCTATTCATACCAACTCTTGAACACGCTGATTTGAATGATGGAGCTTCTCTTGGCTCTAATAACTTCATTGATGATACTCTCCTGGGCTCTACTAATTCAAATAACAATGCCTTTCCTGAGCATACTGAATCACATACGGATGTTGCTTCAGAACCTACTACCTCGACTGATGAAATTCCAATACTAGTTCGACGCTCATCTCGTACTATTCAGAAACCTTCATACCTTCAGCATTATCATTGCAATAATGCTTCCTCAAAGTGTTTATATCCCATCGAAAGTTTTGTTTCTTCTTCAAAACTTTCCACCGAGTATGGAGCATTTGTTGCAAATATCTCGACTATTGATGAGCCTTCTTATTATCATCAAGCTGTCAAGTCTTCTACTTGGAGAAATGCTATGTATGATGAACTTCGAGTCATGGAAGAGCTTGGAACATGGACCATTGTTCCGTTACCCACTGGAAAGATTGCTGTTGATTGCAAATGGGTCTATCGAGTGAAGTATAATGCTGATGGCTCGATTGACCGGTGTAAAGCCAGACTGGTTGCTAAGGGCTTCACACAAATTGAAGGCATTGATTACATGGACACTTTTTCACCTGTTGCCAAAATGACCTCATTTCGAGTCCTTCTTTCTCTAACAGCAGCACACAACTGGAACTTGTTACAATTAGATGTAAACAATGCCTTTCTAAACGGCACGTAGGATGAGGAAGTTTATATGAAACTACCTCTCGGATACAAATCTGAATACAAAGGGTCTAACACGGTTTGCAAGCTTCACAAATCTATTTACGGTTTGAAGCAAGCATCCAGACAGTGGTTCACTACATTCTCAAACGCTGTTCTTCAACTTGGTTTTCAGCAATCTCCATTTGAACATTCTTTGTTCACAAGGGCTGTGGCAGTGGATTCATTGCTCTTCTTGTTTATGTAGATGACATAGTTTTGTCTGGGGAAAATCTACAAGATTTACATGAAATACAGAGTCTTTTACAAAAGCATTTCAAACTAAAGGAGTTAGGGCCCCTGCGTTATTTCCTAGGTTTTGAAGTTGCTAGGAATAACACTGGAATCATTCTATCCCAGAGGAAATATGTACTACAATTACTAGCAGATACCGGATGCTTGGGTACCAAGCCAGCCGAATCGCCAATGCTTTTGTCCTCGAAGTTAAGTGCAAATGAAGGAGAATTACTTCCTGATCCCCAGGAGTATCGTCGATTAATAGGCCGTTTGTGCCCTTTTGTCCAATGCTTTTGTCCAATCCACTAATCACTTGAGCATATTTGTTGACTCGGACTATAGTTCCTGTCCTGATACAAGACGCTCCACAATTGGGTTTTGTGCCCTTTTTGGTAACAGTCTGGTGTCCTGGAAATCAAAGAAACAAGTTGTTGTTAGCCGATCTTCTTGCGAGGCTGAATATCGAGCTATGGCCATGGCTACGTGTGAATTAGTTTGGCTCGTTTCTTTGCTCTCTTCTTTTCATGTGAATGTTGGTTTTGCAAGATTGTATTGCGATAATCAGGCTGCAATCAACCTTGCAACTAATCAAGTGTTTCATGAGAGAACAAAGCATATAGAAGTTGATTGTCATTTTGCACAAGACAAGGTGAAAGCCGGTTTTTTGAAGTTATTTCACGTCCGTTCCTCAGACCAGTTGGCTGACATCTTCACCAAAACACTTCGGCCTCCTGTACATCGAGATTTCATTACCAAGCTGGGCCTTTTTAATATACATGCACATCCAGCTTGAAGGGGGGTATTAGAGTATATCAAATTCAGCTTGTAATCTTTATAGCTTATAGTTTGTTTTGTTAGCTAGTTTATTGTTATCAGTTAGTTAGCTGATTTGTTAGCAGTAGTTCTTGATTAGTTAGTTAACTTTACTCTGTATATAAACTAGTATGTAATCCTTCTTGATACACAAGAGAAGTTTTACTCACTTTACAGCTTCTTCAATTGTTATAAGAACATTTTTATTTTCTTTTAAATTCTTGCCGATGCTTGCAGAGAAGCTGAGAATTGTTGCTATTGAATATAGAATATAGATCCGTCATAATTTATTACAAAGCTTAGAATTTATTGGCCTCGATGGGAGTGATGAGGCCGGAGCTGGTTATGAAATCAATCGTCCCCGTTGTTATGGCCGACGTTTTGGGTATTTATTTTTTGAATGATGTAGTGAATTTAGGGTTCCTATTTACGAATTTATATTTCTTCTTGATTTTTTATTTCATTGCTTTGATTTTGAATGTTCTGGCTGCTAATTCTGATTGCTTTAAATTTCCCCCTTGTTCATCATGATAATAATTGGTCTTCATGTTTTGATTGTTAGGCTTATATATTTTATAGACGCAAGCATACCTGCATAGATCGTCATTTTTTTGTTATTCGTTGCATATCTATGTTTGAGATTAGGAGTTTGTGATTTGATTTGTAATTCAACCATGATTAAATGATGCATTTCAATTGTGTAAATTCTAATCTAATTAGCAAAGTTCCCATAGAATTTGGATGTGTTTCCCTATGATTAAAACCTTCATTTTAAACCTATTTTGAGATTCAGGATCCTTGCTAGTATTTTTTTTTTTGAATTGCATATATGTGGTAAAGCCATAGGCTCATGGTTTCATCCTTAAATTTAGCTTCTTTTGAGTAGATATGAATCTCGTATTGAAATATGCTTGGTGGGTTTTGTTGTGTAATGAAATTTGTACTCTTTTTTTTTATTTCTATAATGAATTATAAATTATGTTTATACATGTTTATAATTGAAGAGGAAGTGTGAAACTAATGCAAGAGTTAGAAGAAATGTCGAGTTAACTACTAATCAAGGATCTCGGGCTTTTGTCGCTAGCCGATATCCTAAGGTAAGTTGGACACTTTTGATATTTATTATAAAGTTTATTTTTATTTTAAAGTCTAATTTTTATTTTTTGAAATCACATAGCGCAAGGATGATGAAGAACCAAATAGGATGGTTTTCTTCAAGGCAACTCATTATTCAAATGACAAAGGATGGACAACATCTGAGGCACAAGCAAAATATGCAAGACCTCACAAAATTAAGTATTAAATTGTAATTTTTCATCTAAGGATTATTTTATTCATGAATGACTTTTTAGGAGAAAATGGTGGAGTTGCGATCAACTCCAGTTGAAGAAGGAGCAGAAAATATGTAAGCATTGGAATCACAACCGACTCAAGGATTGGATTGAGATTGCTACTACGAAATATTCCCCAAGTCATATTATTATCATATTATTTTTATTTTCTGTAAACATTTAAACATTTTTATATTTATAGAAATGAAATTATTATGTTTTTATTGAAATATTTGTTTAAATTTTATTATTTTGCAATAAGTGAACTATTTTTTTATTTAGATTTGTATAAATAATTTTATTTTAATATATAGTCATTAAAAAAGTGACAATTTTTAGTTTTGCCACTATATTGGTGACATTATATATGGTGACGTTATGAATAATCATCATTGATAATATTTATTAGGTCACGATATATTGTCACTAAAAATGTGACTATCTTTTTCGTCACATATAAGTTAATTTTAATGTATTATTTGTGACAATATAAACTATCAATAATGAAATCTTATTTAATTTAGTGACGTAACCGTCATAGAATATAAATTATAAAGTGACGTTATGCGTAAAAGTCATTCATAATATTATTAGGTAACATTTATATTATGTCACTAAAAATTTGACAATATCTATTTCGTCACCTATAGGTTGATTTTATCCGTGACGATATAAATAATAAATAACGAAATTTTACATAATTTAGTGACATAATTAGTTGTCATTGAATATTAATTATATAGCGACGTTATATATAAATATCATCCATGCTACTATTAGGTGACGATATACTATGTTACTAAAAATGTGACAATTTTCTTTTCGTCATGTATACAATTTAATTATTGTGTTATTGGTGACAATATGATTTATTAATGACGAAAATGTACATCATTTGATGACAAAAGTAATTGTCACTGAATGCAAATTAACTGTGACGCTATCCATTAACGTCACTATATAAACAATACATGACGATAACACATACATCGTCACTTTTGACATTTAGTGACACACCTAGGGTGATGATCGTCGTGACATTGACTTTTACGTCACAAAATACATATAGTGACATAAATTGAAGTTTTAGTGACAATAACCTAGATGCTACTAATAAGAAAATTTGTTGTAGTACAACCGCTTGAAGCCCACACTAACTTGAGCCTTCAGCTCCTCATACCCAAGTTATATGACACCTATTACATCTCTTACCTCATTCCCCAATTCAGTCATTGTCTCCGCCAATTCCACTTGAGTCTTATCGACTCTCCTCATTCGATCACCAGAGATCATATGAGCTCTACTGGCCGCTCACGCTACTTTATTCTCATCTAACTTTTGTCGATCCATAGAACACTTCTCCTGTATGACAGGCGCTATAAATTATTGCTCCTCACCTCTGTGAGAGCTTTTTGATCCACCATTACACATGCGATTCCCTTTAGTTCATCGGCACCTCAATACCTGCAACACAAATGAGGCCCTATCATGCCTAAAAAGAAGAGCACCACTGTGCTAAATTCATAGCACCTATGTGCTTGAATTAACGATTGAGTACCTCTGTGCTTCAATCGACAATCTGACGCCTCTGTACAATTAAAAATGATTGAGCACCTCTATGCTTCAGTGTAGAATCTGCCACCTTTGTGCTTTGGGATGATTGAGCACCTTTGTACTTCAATCTAGGATCAGGAACCTTTGCTCTTTTCGGATGATTGAGCACCTCTGTGCTTCAATCTAAAATCTGGCACCTTTGTGCATTAAAAAACGATTGAGCACCTCTTTTCATCAATATTTGAATTGGCACCTCTATGCATTAAAGAAACGATTGAGCACATCTGTGCATCAATCTTTAAACCGGCACCTCTGTGTAGTTACCACGCTATTTCACCCTGCCTACTCCACACGCTAGAGCATTTGGCGTATGGTCAAGTCATCCTACCTCCTCCACGCATTAAAGCGCTTGACATGAACACTGTCCACCTTGCATACTCAACATGTCGAAGCGCTTGGCGTGAAATAGAAACGAAGAAACTAAATCATCTGCCAAAACCAAACCAACCTGGCTGTGATACCAAGTGTCACATACATAACATCTCGGTCCTGTTGTTATGTCGTGCAACACTTGAATGGGACAAATCCCAGACAAGTCAGCCTTTCCCAACATAGATCCAAGCCTCAAACTAACTCATAATTAAGCAAAGCCACATTGCCCAAGAATCATCCCTTTGTTCATTAGTCGATCCCACAATATCTTGTCCAAACAAGCAAGCCACATATTAGTCCCAAGCCATAATATAATCCCAAAGCCACAAGTAATCTTGGAGAAGAGATCCCGCAGGGCATGGCGAATGCTAGGCTGCAACCCCACTCCTCACCCTAGAGTGTGATATGGGGCCCATTGGCCCCAAACCGTCCCTATGTATCATCCTAGAGAGACATCGTACCATTCGCTTGGTTTCGATGCCCACACACCTAGGTTCCCCGTGAACCTAGGAGAAGGTCGCTTACACCATGGTAGCTCTACATGCTAGCTCAGGGTGTGGGGGATGGTGTAGACCCAACACCAGATCACTTCCCTCTAAAGAGCTAAAGAAACTTACCAGCTATGACACCAGTACATGTTGGAATGTCTGAACTGAGGCCATTACCTTGAAAGTCCCTCCATCTTCATTCTTCAAGCTTTCCTTGGCTTATAGTCATATTACTCAGCCCACCATCGGGTTACGATCGTGGTAATCTCATGGAAATGAGATGTCCCTGACATCCCAGCACCCCACTATCCATCCTTGACTGCATTTAATTTCCGTGTAAATTGCTATTCTTCTTGGATAATGATGAATTTGTAGTAGTTTGATGTTTGGATGTTTCCGTGTATTATAAGGACACAACACTATTTTTTTAGATTCCACATGGAATCATTGGTGAGAATGAATACTACATTTTAATATATATATTTTTATTTCACTAGCAGTTGTTAAATTTGTAAAGCTCAAGATATGAATAATTCCTCATATTATTAAATGTTGGATACAATGTGTTATATATATATATATATATATATATATATAATAGTTAAAAGAACGAACCTCAACTAACTAATAATATAACAAAATAACTTCTCTTTAACTACTTTCTATACCCCTCAAGTTCGGCGTTGAATTTTTTTTTTCATGCCCAACTTGCATGTTAAACTGTTGTGTTGCTAAACTCCAAGTGTCTTAATCAAAATATCTATCAGTTGTTCAACCGAGCTTACATGTTCAGTTCTAATCAAGGCTTCTTATATCTTTTCTATAATGAAGTGACAATCTATTTGAATGTGCTTCGTTCTTTCATTAAGTAAATATTAGCAACTATTTGTAAAATTGCCTTACTGTCACTATATAATATAGCTGATGTTATGAGAAATGAAGAATTAGGGTTCATAGAAGGAAAACTGGGAACAGGAAGAGGAGAGCTAGGGATTGAAGTGAGATTGAGGATTGAATTCAAGGAATACAAACCGGACAGTGTTAAACCAAATTGCATAGTTGAACCAGGTATTAAGCCCACACATGAAGAAACCCAAATGACGTTAGGATAGGATAGCATAAGACTATGAAGGATTGGGGCTTGACATCATCAACCTATTTTCACCTACACGTAGCAGAATATGATCCTTAGGATTTTTAATAATTTGATACTATTATTATAGCAATAATTGGGGAGTACAATATAAAATATAATACTTGTACCAGAATCTATGAGTATTATGATGACTGAATGACAAGTTTCTTCTTCTGAAATCTTTTATTCCAAATTATCTTCTTAAAATATCCTAAAAGTTTTATAAATTCAAGCGAATCATTTCTCTAAAACACAGCAAATTAGTATCAAAATCTAAATTCATGGTATTCGGTCAAGTTGGGTCTAGTAGACCAAAACAGAATCAAATTATGGCAGAAAACACAGGTGTCACTGCCATAAAACAACAGATTGATGATTTAACAAAGAAGCTGGAACAGAAAACTGATGAAACAATACCTCCCAAGTGGTGGGAAGAGCAAGACAATGCTTGAGTAGTCTGGAATCTAGAATGGCAATAAACTAAGGTTATGTGGAATAAATCTTGCGGATTCTGATACAGAAGAAAGAACATAAATAGACGAGTTTTGAAAATGAACATGTAAAAACACGTACTTTATAAAAAGCTTATGAAAAAACGATGATTGTGATAGTAATCAACGATAAATCAAGGTTTTCTTATCACACTGATGAACCTGGTATTCTCTAATCTAAACCTACTGACTTTCAAATAAATCAGTAAACACTTAGGATAGAAAACCAAGTGGTTGATAATAATGGGATTAAAAATACTCGATGGGAGCATGTTGAAGAAAAGAAGGAAAAGGGTGGCCTTTTGGAAATATCGGGAAACGTTACCATGACCTAAAGTAGAGTTACAAACATTTGATGGGTACAAAACCACAAAACCAAGAGGGTGGATACGAAAATACAGAAAAAAAAACACTCATTTGACGTTACTGAAGAACAAAAGGTAGAAATGGCATCGATGTATTTAGTGGGTAAGACAAAAATTTGGTTTGATTGCTACATTCTACAGAAACATCAAGTACATTGTAACGAGTTTGAAGCTTATTTGCGTCATGATTCTGTGATAGAACCTATTCGGACATCATTGAAGAATTAAGCAAATTAATGCAAACAGGATCTGTGAGGGAGTATCAAGAGAAGTTTGAAGAGCTAAAACCCTACATGTTACTACAGAATCCTAATCTAAGGGAAGACTCATTTGTCTTCATGTTCGTGAATGGGTTGATAAAAGAAGTGAAACATAGGGTCAAGGCCCTTAAACCAAAAAGAGTGGCCAAAGCTTGTAGACATGCCAAGTTATATGAAGTTTCATTGGAGTATGAGTAGAAGATGCAAAGATCAAATTTTAGACTCCCACCTACCCAAGTCAAACAAATTTTCCAAAACCTACATCTATTGCAATGGGGCAGAAGACCACTTCCAATATTCATAATGAGAACACCTTGTTCGAGTGTAGAAGGTTAAATAATCTGTGCTTCAAATATGGAGAGAGATGTACCCTTTGCTATCAATGCAAAATAAAATAGTTAAATTT